TGTAAATGGATGACCTGAGCACAGATCCCATGTCTGCAGGTATTGTGTAAATGGATGACTTGAGCACAGATCCCATGTCTGCAGGTATTGTGTAAATGGATGACTTGAGCACAGATCCCTTGTCTGCGGGTATTTTGTAAATGGATGACCTGAGCACAGATCCCATGTCTGCAGAAATTGTGTAAATGGATGACTTGAGCACAGATCTCATGTCTGCAAGGATTGTGTAAATGGATGACTTGAGCACAGATCCCACGTCTGCGGGTATTATGTAAATGGATGACCTGAGCACAGATCCCATGTCTGCAGGTATTGTGTAAATGGATGACTTGAGCACAGATCCCATGTCTGCAGGTATTGTGTAAATGGATGACTTGAGCACAGATCCCATGTCTGCGGGTATTTTGTAAATGGATGACCTGAGCACAGATCCCATGTCTGCAGGTATTGTGTAAATGGATGACTTGAGCACAGATCCCATGTCTGCAGGTATTGTGTAAATGGATGACTTGAGCACAGATCCCTTGTCTGCGGGTTAATGGATGACCTGAGCACAGATCCCATGTCTGCAGGTATTGTGTAAATGGATGACTTGAGCACAGATCCCATGTCTGCAGGTATTGTGTAAATGGATGACTTGAGCACAGATCCCTTGTCTGCGGGTTTTTTGTAAATGGATGACCTGAGCACAGATCCCATGTCTGCAGGAATTATGTAAATGGATGACTTGAGCACAGATCTCATGTCTGCAGGTATTGTGTAAATGGATGACTTGAGCACATATCCCATGTCTGCAGGTATTGTGTAAATGGATGACTTGAGCACAGATCCCATGTCTGCGGGCATTGTGTAAATGGATGACATGAGCACAGATCCCATGTCTGCGGGTATTGTGTAAATGGATGACCTGAGCACAGATCCCATGTCTGCAGGTGTTGCTTATTTTTGGAGGGGAAACGGGGCCAGGTGACTTCAGTAACCATTAAAGCAGATTCCGTGTCTGCAGGTATTGTATAAATGGATGACGTGAGCACAACCTCTTTGTTCACTGACCTGTCCTCACTTATGGCAATACATCCCATTCCCGCCTTGTGTAGTGAGACCTAGTCAAACAATTCGTAGGTGGTGCAAGATCAATCAAATAGTTCGTAGTCGGTGCATGATTAGCCAAATAATTCGTATGAGGTGCATGATTAGACAAATAGTTCGTATGAGATGCAAGATTAGTCAAATAGTTCGTAGAAGATGCATGATTAGTCAATAGTTCGTATGAGATGCAAGATTAGTCAAATAGTTCGTGGTAGGTGCTTGATTAGTCAAATAGTTCGTAAGAGTTGCATGAGAGTCTAGAAAAGATTGGTACAACATTGTTCTAAGAATTGGTTACAACATATTCGGCTATTAAATGTTTGTTATTGTTTGTTCAACTTACTTTTCAATGTTTTGTGGTTTGGTATTAATTTATTTGAAAAAATAAATTACTGTACAAAATTCAAATAAAATGAACTAATGTAACCAGTCACTCATTAGCGATATCAATTTGATGCGCCCCAGACATTTCTAATACCTTTCATTCATGCTGACAATTTTCTTCAAGTTTGTAAAAGGACATTCCCTCATAGTAAAATAGCTTCAAAATTGTCAATGAAGAAAAAGTTCGTTGACACGTTATTTAAGATTTGATCGCATTTGATGAAAGTGTGTAACTGATAGAAATGAAATATGCACTTCTTATTGATATTTTAACCAGGGCCCAACTCCGGTCTCTTTTGATATTGTGCGTTATATATATTTATTTTTTCAAAACAAATTGTATATTTTCTTTGCTGTGATAAACCTTTTAAAACATTTTCTGATTAAATATATTTCAGTAAATTACTGCAATGTGTGTTTCTGGTGCATTCATTCAATCTATTATGCATTAATTAATTTAAAAACGTATTTTTAATATTCTCTAAAAATTATATAAGGTTGCAATAATAAACTTCTGAAATATTTTGACCAAATCTTGGGAATTTTGAAAAAAAGTGAGTGGTTGCCCTTGTCCGGCTCTTGTGCATTGAAATCTCTCACAAAAATGGTTAGGCTGAAAACCACTTTGTTTCCTAAATGGGTAGGGTTATTGGGTTTCTGGAAGATATTTGACATTGAAATCACTTAACTCGTGTACGTTTTGAATCAAGTGAATGTTTGGAACAATTGATGGCAGCGAAAAACATGTATGAAGGTATTAAAACCAATTTTTTGCGTGTTAATATAGTAGATATCCAAAGGACAATATTCCATCTCATACTCATGGTTAGTATAACATTGCAAATAATGGATCAACTATTCAACTATTGCTTGTTGTTTGTTTTAGGAGGGGAAACGGAGCCAGGTGACGTCAGCGACCATTAAAGCAGTGAATCAAATCTAAGCACAATCTCCCAAAGATCTGCTATTCCAGACGCTCTATGAATGCCGACAGCAATGACTATTCCAGACGCTCTATGAATGCTGACAGCAATGACTGTTCCAGACGCTCTATGAATGCTGACAGCAATGACTATTCCAGACGCTCTATGAATGCTGACAGCAATGACTATTCCAGACGCTCTATGAATGCTGACAGCAATGACTATTCCAGACGCTCTATGAATGCTGACAGCAATGACTGTTCCAGACGCTCTATGAATGCTGACAGCAATGACTATTCCAGACGCTCTATGAATGCCAACAGCAATGACTGTTCCAGACGCTCTATGAATGCCGACAGCAATGACCGTTCCAGACGCTCTATGAATGCTGACAGCAATGACTATTCCAGACGCTCTATGAATGCCGACAGCAATGACTGTTCCAGACGCTCTATGAATACCGACAGCAATGACTGTTCCAGACGCTCTATGAATGCCGAGAGCAGTGACGATTTTGTTATTTCGTTTTGTCGTTTGTTAGTACAAATGATTCTCATGGTAATTAATCCAAAGACAGAACACATCAAATATTGCTAATATTATTTAAATTCAATTGAAATGAAGTTACAGTTGCAGGGTAAATAGATGAATCTTTCTAAAATATCAGATCAGTCTTTCTTACCTTGTTTTGAAAATTAACTCTGTTTAAAAGCATTATATTAAGTTAAGTCTACTAATTTCCAAACCCTTCTTGAAGAGAAAAGGGAGATGCAAAATTATCATCTGCAATTGTGTTGCCTCCATTTGTATACATTACATATTATTATGTGGGTTTATTTTTAGGATATTCCTTTAATGGAAATCACGTCATGGGTGATAAATCCATTTTTACAGTAACCATCGATACCGTTGATCTAGTGTGTGTGTGTATGTATGGGGTGGAGGCGTACTCAGCCACAAATGATATTGAGTAGGAGCAAAGGTTTCAAGATATGAGAACACAGGTTTGTGGAACAGTAACAATGTCTCTATGAGAACACAGGTTTGTGGAACAGTATCAAAGTCTCTATGAGAACACAGGTTTGTGGAACAGTATCAATGTCTCTATGAGAACACAGGTTTGTGGAACAGTATCAATGTCTCTATGAGAACACAGGTTTGTGGAACAGTATCAATGTCTCTATGAGAACACAGGTTTGTGGAACAGTATCAATGTCTCTATGAGAACACAGGTTTGTGGAACAGTAACAATGTCTCTATGAGAACACAGGTTTGTGGAACAGTATCAATGTCTCTATGAGAACACAGGTTTGTGGAACAGTATCAAAGTCTCTATGAGAACACAGGTTTGTGGAACAGTATCAATGTCTCTATGAGAACACATGTTTGTGGAACAGTAACAATGTCTCTATGAGAACACATGTTTGTGGAACAGTAACAATGTCTCTATGAGAACACAGGTTTGTGGAACAGTAACAATGTCTCTATGAGAACACAGGTTTGTGGAACAGTAACAATGTCTCTATGAGAACACAGGTTTGTGGAACAGTATCAAAGTCTCTATGAGAACACAGGTTTGTGGAACAGTATCAATGTTTCTATGAGAACACAGGTTTGTGGAACAGTATCAAAGTCTCTATGAGAACACAGGTTTGTGGAACAGTATCAAAGTCTCTATGAGAACACAGGTTTGTGGAACAGTATCAATGTCTCTCTGAGAACACAGGTTTGTGGAACAGTATCAATGTCTCTATGAGAACACAGGTTTGTATAACAGTATCAACGTCTCTATGATATTCTGCACCTTAGACAGTGGTTAAAGTTAAAGAAGCTTGTTTTATTCTCCACACAGTATTTGGTTTGCTTGTCCAGCTTTGCTGAAGGCAAAGAAATTGCACAGAATTATGAATGAAGTTAAAGAAGTTCTGCTCAGACACTTAAAACCAGGCAGTGAATAACTGCTATCACTTTACAGAGGCTTAAAACCAGGCAGTGAATAACTGCTATCACTTTACAGAGACTTAAAACCAGGCAGTGAATAACTGCTATCACTTTACCGAGCCCATCCACTGCATTCAAATAAGTTGACCACTAAAAACGTTATGTATACAAAACTTTGTGCTACATGAATTTAAAAATGCATGTATCAAAAATTGTGGACCTGCAAACATTTCTTCTGAGAAAGCTTAAACTATGGAAAGACGGGAGGGGATGGTGGGGAGATGGTGGGGAGATGGTGGGGAGATGGTTCACTCAGGTTGACTTTATGGGAGTGGTGAAAAATATACACAAATATATACACAGTACAAATATGCACACAGTAAAAATATACACACAGTACAAATATGCACATACCGGTAGTACATTAAATGCACAGTACAAATATACACCAGTACAGTAGGGGTACACATAATACAAATATACACCCAGTACAAATAAACTTACAGTACAAATCCAACAGACAACACTATTAAATTAATCAATTTATTATAAGATGCTAAAATTAACATGGTCTTCTACATTCAGAAGATCTAAACTTTTAATGTTGTATTTTTGCTAAGCACTATAAATTCTATCACACATCAACTCTCTATCACATATAAAATTTTCATAAGAAAGAAATGTCATTAAAAAAATTAATATAATAATAATAATTAAAAAATTAAATAAAAACTTAATAAGTTAGATATTCTTATATAACAATTCGGATCCAATACATAACTCTACAGTTGTAAATCTATTTCCTATTCTTACTTTCAATACCAAAACAAATCTGCCTGTGTACACACGGATATATAATTGTAATAAAAAAACTATTTATTATTGAGCACCTGTGACAGGACAATACATGATTTTTTTAAATTGTATATCATCATTGTGGATAATGTAGAAATATAAACATCTAAATATGGATATTTGTAGGCATGTATCATGATAATAATTACAAAATGTGAAACATGTAACGATACAAAGATGCCAGTGTTTAATCTCCAACCCAGGAATAGCAGGGTATGTTATGAACAGGAAGCTGCCCCATGTAGACAAAAAAATTGTTATATGGGAGGTCATTCACACAATCGTCAGGCAACATGGAGGGAATGACATTTGTGGTAAAAGGTGTTCATATAAAGGTCACGTTAATCAAATTAATCACGTACCTGGTAATATAAATAATATTTTTACTTAGCCAAAGGCTAAAGACAAATTCTTTCCTACTTCCTTACAAGTTCATTGATTTAAGCTTTAAAGTTGATTAAAGATGCATTATTTCATTTTTTTTGCAATATGCAACGTTATGAATTAAATAGGAGATTCAAAAGTTACAACTTATTTAAAGACATATACGAATGGTATGAATTATGGTGATTAAATGGGACAAGAGGTTGGGGGTCGGAAGTATTAAAAAAGCTGAGGGGTGACAATTTTAAGACAACTAGACAACTACTCCAGAACCCAGGAGTTCATTTCTCTGTTGTGACTATTTGACATTAGAGTAATCTCCCATCAAATCTTGGCATATTGAATCAGCAATAAATTTGGATGACAAGAAATCATTAAATATAGAATTCTAGTAGATTCCACATGAAAACTTTTCCTCTCATATTTTATAAAGTTGAATGTTGTACAAATTCTTTCTTTTTATTATTAAAAAGGTCTGAAATTTAAGTCGGCGTGGAATGTTAACCTTTTCACAGTAAACATAACATTGAATCTCAAAGCAACAAGTAATAATATTAAGAAAATGTTGAGAATTAAATCTGAAATGTCATCTAAGTTCATGGGTTGGTTGTAATGCAAGTTACAAATATTAATATTTTGGGCCGCTGTCGTCTGGGATGTAGGATGGAGTGTCAACAGGAGACGCTCCTCCACCTTGTTGTGATGTTGTGGTTGTTCTTGTGACTACTCCTCCACCCAGAAAGGGGATCTTGCCAGAACGGAAGAGGTAGATGAATTCAACGATCACAAGGAACAGCCACAGTATTATACTAATCCAAGCACCAGCCTGAGGAAAACATTCAAACAATGACTGAAGAGAAATTAAAGAATTTTATGGCAGTCTTCACTTATCTATAGATATCACTACTATGTAACAGGAAAATGTGCGATCCTATTTGTTGTTTCCATTTTTTTTACAAGGAAGTGTAAGTTTTTTGGTTACTGGTATTACTAGTATTAGTGAACAATTTTAGGGTTGTGACGCTAAAACAAGCGCTAATTACAAAAAAGATCATTTAAAGTGAAAGATCATTTTAAAAGAAAAAAAATTGGGGTATTTTAGGGTTAATTTATTTGGTGCAAAAGGGAATACTGCAATCATGTTGTAAAACAGCATGTAACAAGTACAATATAAGTTAAAGCTTGATACTTTATTTTGTACTTCAAGGATTTTTACATCATTTTTTTAGACAGGAGATAATAATATCTGAAAGTTTTGGCAGCCATTTATACCATGCTCATTGTTTGTTCATTGTGGCTTCAGGGAACAACTCTGACTGAAAGCGATTCTTCTGTGAAAAATTGTGTTTGAATTTAGGGAATACAATTATGTCAAATCTGCCAAAAGTGGGGTGTATGGTCCATGATAAAACAATGTTATTTTTACAAACAAAAAATGGTTTTCGTAACCTGATGTGTTTGTTTTAATGGCATATAATTTTTACAGGTTTGGTCTCTTCCCATAATCAATATTTTCCCAAAAGTTAGTCAAAGTCGTTACCGGTACCGGTAATCAAAATATTTTGAGGCAATATTTAGATAGAATGACCACCAAAAACCCAGTCAGAAAAGATTACACCATATGAGTAGAAAAAAAGTCAAAATCGGCATTATATTTTTTACTTTGTGTTCATTTTCCAGTCCAGGAAAACAGCATGAGTGTATCCAAAAACTATATTACACTATGTTACCCTTAAATTGTTCAAAATATTTTTTAATGAATTTAAACAGAAGTACTGTTTAATATTTTCTAGATATCTTTTTTTTCTCTTTAAATTGAATATTATTTCATGCATATTTTGTGATGTCGTTGTTTAATTTGACAGCTATCTACTTAACAAGAAAACTGTTTTATTTTTTTACACATTTTAATTTTGAAATTTCAACCCATTAAAAAAATTGGGGCACACCTCCTCTCTATATTTTAAAAGACTATGAGATAACCCTCAGATATAACACTTCAATAATGGGGGCATCACTCTTCTCTATATTTTAAGAAGCTATGAGATAACCCTCAGATATAACACTTAAATAATGGGGGCATCGCTCCTCTCTATATTTTAAAAGACTGAGATAACCCTCAGATATAACACTTCAATAATGGGGGCATCACTCTTCTCTATATTTTAAGAGACTATGAGATAACCCTCAGATATAACACTTAAATAATGGGGGCATCGCTCCTCTCTATATTTTAAAAGACTGAGATAACCCTCAGATGTAACTCTACAAAAATCATGAAGGAAAACTTCAAATAAAATTGATGCATTTCAATTTTTTTTTTAAATACATAAAATTCCATATTTTCTAAAGCTGGGGGTTTGGAGTTTTAATTGTTTGTATCTTGTATTCTATTAAATATAAATGATTTTATCACTAGCTTACCATTTCAGGAATATTTATGCTTCATCTTGCTGGAGAAAACCTTTCAAAGATTAAGTGTAAAAATAAAAACATCATACAAATTTACCTGTGCTGCTCTTGAGGCTGAGACCCAGTTAGTACAAAACATGCTGTAAAAAGAATCATTTTAAAAATTTAATTTTCCTTGTATCTTGTTTAATAAGTATTATTAACGTATTTCTCAGTGTAATTTACTTTTAACCAAGATTTAACTTCCAAGACTGTTTTTTTTTTTTTTTTTTTTTTTTTTTTTTTTTTTAAACTTTTAAAAAAAAAAATTTATTTATTTTTTTTTATTTTAATTTTTTTTTTTTTTTTATTTTTATACAACACCTTTAAAAAAAAAAATTGATTTCTTGTTTTTAATTTTAATTTTGTTTTTTTTTTTAGAGAACATGGTTTTTATTACCGGTACTGAAAGAATACCCATAGCAAAACACATTTTTTCTAAAAAATTGTTAACTTTCCTTCCACATTTGATTTGTATACACAAGAATCAAACTCATCTATTACGTGATACATTAAGAATTTACAAGGACTCTAAAAACTTTTCTGTCAAATAAACAATCCCAATTTTACTTTTATGTGCTACAGGACTACTTCAAAATATTCTGTTTTATTCCATCAACTCTATTAACAAAGCAACTGTTTCTGAAGAAATATTATTTACTTAGAGAATAGTAGCTTTTGAAAATTTTAATGCAATGGCCTTTTAAAATATATTTTCATATCTTTCAGTAAAGGCTAAATACAACATAATCAAAATATAGATAATAAACAGAAAATTGTGAGTTTAGGAATATTGGAATGTGGGAAAATATCAAAATAATTCAAGATATTTTGAAAACTTTTGAAAAATACTTTTATGCCAGGGTGCATTATTTTTAAATTTTACTATAATTTTGGACTTTCGCCAATTTATGTTTTTCAATAACAATAATTTTACTTCATTTTAATGAGTTACTGATACACAAAACAAAGAAAACATAGTTGTCCCAATTGTTGCAACCCTTCTTCAGAACTGGTGCCTGGACAGGGTATGCAAAAACAATATTTTTAAAAGAACTGCTCTAGATGTAAAGAAAAAAAGGATGTCAAACAAAATATCTTTTTAGATACCATAACTAAAGAAAATCTAACATTTTCTGTATAGGTTTCAAAGGTCTCACTTGTTGCTGTGTGTGGCAGCAAATGAGACATCTTTGAAGCTGTGTGTGGCAGCAAGTGTGACATCCTTGAAGCTGTCTTTGGCAGCAAGTGAGACCTCCTTGAAGCTGTGTGTGGCATCAAGTGTGACATCCTTGAAGCTGTGTGGCAGCAAATGAGACATCCTTGAAGTTGTATGTGGCATCAAGTGAGACATCTTTGAAGCTGTGTATGGCAGCAAGTGAGACATCCTTGAAGCTGTGTGGCAGCAAGTCTGACATCCTTGAAGCTGTGTGTGGCATCAAGTGAGACATCCTTGAAGCTGTGTGTGGCAGCAAATGAGACATCCTTGAAGCTGAGTGTGGCATCGAGTAAGACGTCCTTGACCTAAAGGCTTTCGCTATTAGCCATGCTATTATAAATCCCATAACACCTGGAATATATTTTATTGTTCCATGTGTTAATTCATGTTTATACAGCACATAAGCAACTGAGACATTTTGATAAATATGTTCTTACCTGGAGTCACCACAGGTATCATTGTGCCCAGCCGAGAGAATGCAGGCACCAATGAAGGTAAACAACAGTGTTACAGCATCAATGCAAGTGTAGATCAACTCCATGATATCAGACAGTAAAAACATCCTAGAAAATATTTATATGGATAAAAACTTAAGTTACTAATGCAATAATCAATTTCATTACGGTAAGAACTAATGAATGACTCAAGACATTTGATTCAACTGTGGTCACGAATGACATTACAATCAGAATTAATGAAAGCTATTACATTACAGTTGCAAAATTAAAAATAAAAGAAATTAGAAAGACATTAAAATGGTTAAGAAATTGTCAAAGACATTACATTAATATTTAATGATTGGTATGTAGGGTATTCATATTCAAAAGGGTGTTGGTTGGTAAAGCATGAGAAATATAAGACTATTTTAAAATATATATTAAAGAAAAATAAGAATAGATTATTACTCTGTATTAAGCTTGCCCAATTTCAGCAGAAGGATTATGACAATCCTGTATAAGATATAGAACAGCTGGAATATAATGGCTATGGCCATTGGATAGTTACAGTTTGATACAGCACCAAAATGATACAAAGGGCAAAGACCATTGACTTCATCCTGAAAATTTGACATAATACAAAAATATTTATAAAAAGTTTATACATAAGTGTACATTCATATTGCTATTTATTGTTAGTACCTAGACATTAATGGCTGAGAATTACTTTAAATAGCAAAATTTATTTATTATATTTTCAAGCCACATTACTAAAATTGTAGGGGCAGTTTCGCTCCACCCTGAACAGTGTCTGCTCTGACTTGGAGCCACATAAGATAAAGTGGAGTCTGCTCCACCATGGCGCCACATAAGTAGGGCAGTGTCTTAACTTAATTAACCCTGTTACGTATATAATTCCAAACCTCACTGCGTAATTTCTAGGATGTTACTAAAAAATTTCCTATGCTACTAACAATGACCCTATCCAATTAACAATGGCCCTATGCTACTAACAATGACCCTATCCAAATAACAATGTCCCTATGCTACTAACAATGACCCTATCCAAATAACAATGTCCCTATGCTACTAACAATGACCCTTTCCAAATAACAATGGCCCTATGCTACTAACAATGACCCTATCCAAATAACAATGTCCCTATGCTACTAACAATGACCCTATCCAAATAACAATGGCCCTATGCTACTAACAATGACCCTATCCAAATAACAATGTCCCTATGCTACTAACAATGACCCTATCCAAATAACAATGTCCCTATGCTACTAACAATGACCCTATCCAAATAACAATGTCCCTATGCCACTAACAATGACCCTTTCCAAATAGCAATGGCCCTATGTTACTAACAATGACCCTATCCAAATAACAATGTCCCTATGCTGGTGACAATCCCACACGCTAGATTAAAACAAAACTGAGTTTTTCATTTAATCTAAACATACTGCAAATGACATATTAAAATGTAATAGAACTGTATAATTCTGTCATAATAGTAAACAGAAGATATAGAATTTTATCCTTTTAAAAAAATAAACTTTTATAGCTGGCGCAGTATTGTATTACATGGTTGAAGTTTATAATAGTTTTCAAGCAAATATTTGCTTACATTAACAACCTCGTGCTACTAAGTAAATTAATGAAAAATCTTTAGCATGGTGTGTTTTCTGTATAAGTCAAACAGTGAATAATAAAATAAATTTTGTTTAATTCTACCAACCTTCATGACAGCCACACCAACAAATATAAAGAAACTAAAGAAGACCAGCAAACCGTAGATGATCAGCCTCAGGAGCAAGACTGTGTTAGCATTCAGTGCGTCAGCGACACCCATTTTTTTTTTTTAATATCTCTTCTGGTAACTGATCCAAATAAATTATGATAACATGCAATCGATGACTGGACTTAAATTATTTAAACTATTTTAAGTCATAAATCAGTTAAATTTTAAATAAATGCTTTGCAGCCTGGGTCTTTTGAAGAAGACTTTTCCTTTGCACACTGTTTTTTTTTTTAAAGAAGATTTTTTTTCCTTCACAAGCTGAGGCTGTCAAAAAAGAAACAAAAAAGAATATACGTTATTTAAAGTTAATTGGAGATTGTTGTTAAATGAGTTTCACAATTAAAGATAGCATCAGCAATGTAGAGTGAATTTCTGTACTGATCCATTTACATTAGATCAGTTGGTCAATATTGTTTAATTTATGTTGTTAACAAAATTTATGTATATTTTATACATAGTAAATCAAGGAGTTTAATATAGTGAAAAGCGGTACATGTGTCTGAGTGTCATTTACAGTGTTAGAAATGTATCAGAATTGTGTGACATTTAAATTGTTACAAAATGTATCAGAATTGTGTGACATTTAAAGTGTTACAAAATGTATCAGAATTGTGTGTCATTTAAAGTGTTACAAAATGTATCAGAATTGTGTGTTATTTGAACTGTTACAAAATGTGTCAGAGTTGTGTGTCATTTAAAGTGTTACAAAATGTGTCAGAGTTGCTTGTCATATAAAGAGACCCAATATGTCAGAATCCCCTGGTGTTAATTAATGTAATCTGAGTCAACGTGTGTGAGAAGTGAACAAGTAAATAAAGAGCCTGGGATGTTTGTTCGGTAAAGTCTAGCTTGTTATTAACTGATCTACTATTTATTACGTCAAAGTTATTAGCTCTAATGAAGCCTCGAAGTCTTATGAATAAACCCCTATAAACTATAAACAAATAATTTTGAAAGCTTACAATTACAAGACAAGTCCCACAACTTTCGGTAAACAATGTTATGGAAATAACAAGTTCTATCCCCTTAATAATAGGCACCAACGTGTTAAATTAATTGGCATTAAAAAATAATTCTTTAACATAAAATGAAAGGTAAACATTGCGGAAGAGAAAATCAATTTTGATTAAAAAATTAAATTCTATTTCGGTGTTTGCTACTGCATTTTCTATCTTCGTGTAATTAATTATAAGCCGAATTTCAGAATATACTTACATTACACGAACACTATTTCTAGTGACGCGTGCCGGGGGCAGTAGTGAATAGTTAGTGGTAGGCTGGATAAATAGATTTCTATTTCCTTCACTGTAATTCGCGGTGGCGACGGATGGAAACATTTAAAAACAAAGCAACAGGGTTAACAAACTATTTTTAATAGCTACTTCTTTTTAATTCTGGAAAGAAACTAAAAACTTCAGCTCGGAGATCAGAACACGAAGACCGTCCGTCACTGACGTGTAGTTTAATTCCCTGGCACGCCCCCAAGTTTACGTACAATTTCTACCAGCGTTTAAAAGACAATGTGTTGGTAACAGACAAATGTGTTACAACTACACACGCGGACGATCATCTCATGCAACGTCCCGTGTCTCAAATAACAGCCTATTTGGTTATGCTTAGAGAACGTATCGGTGGTATCGCAGACATAAAATAAGTCCAGAGGCGTAGCCCTCATCCGGTCTAAAAATGGGCGTTTCAATGCAAATGACCTTAAGTTGCCCGGGCAAGATGGGGCTAAGAAATTGAACAAAAAAAGATCCAACACAAACTCACATAGATTTGCTGAGTAAATTATTTGACCAGTGTCCAGTTATCCACCCACCCCCAAATTTAAATATTACGCATGTGCTTTTTCACGTATTTACCCATAGAGTGCCTGCATAACATAATCTACGTAGTAAACACAACCAATAAATGACGTGTTAGTTTTTGTAACACTTTGTGACAATGAGATCACGAACAAAAGACCTATAAAAAAATCACACAGCCTCTCGCCCTGAGACAAGATGGCGACAGCATATTATTAGACAAAGTGGGTTCCATAAAACTTCTATTCGATCTGCGTTTGTTACATTTGGAGACGGTTCAGGATACAGCAGTATATTTTCAAAGAGAGTTGAAGATTAAGAGACCCCGTTATTTTTTATTTATTTAGTTAGTTTTATTTGAATTTTTTTAATTAATTATTTTTGAAACAAAAAAGTGGGGGGGGGGGGGAGGGGGGGTAAACTTGATTGGATTATGCATATATCATATAGTGGGTATTTTTTTTTTTTTTTTTTTTTGTTTTTTTTTTTTTTTTTTTTTTAATTTTTTTTTTTTGAAACAAAAAAGGGGGGGGGGGGGGGGGGGGTGGTAAACTTGATTTGATTATGCATATATCATATAGTGGGTATTGTGGTTAACTGGAATTGTGTCAGCTAATGACACCGCTCTTCGCGGGTCAGACACATTTGACACTAGTTTGTTTAAGTGTAAGCTTAAGATTTCTTGTAAGACCTACAGAATCCAACTGGCCTAGAGACTAGAGAGGTCTATGGCCTCATTGTAAGAAGCTTAGTTGACGCTATGACTACACAGAATAATCAACGTGATGCTACAGCTGGCATGACGAGACATTCCAGTTATCGGACCAGAATAACACGTCTAGATATACACACATGTGTGTGTAGTGTGTGTTGAACAAAGATCACGTTTTTCTGCTTCTTTTCTGGGTTACAATAGTTACAATACAATGAGTGGACTCACAATTGACAAACATGGGAATCCAATACTTCCGTAGAATGTTTTAAATATAACCTATGATATATCCTTAAAGTAGCCCTTAGTGAGCTACTGTAGCAATTTTTTTAATGCGGTAGACGTGTATGTTTGTTTTTAAAATAAATAATAATATATACAATGAAGAACGCATTTCCTATCTGTGGTCATGGGAGCGTATGGAGAGCGAATTGAAACAAACGGAGATAATTATATAATTAACGCTATCAAAATCCTAACTGAGCGCCTAAGAATACAGTGACGCCCCAGAATAACCTCTGTCCCATACATACCAGCCAGCATGGCCTCTGTACTACGACATACCAGCCAGCATGACCTCTGTCCCACGACTTACCAGCCAGCATGACCTCTGTCCCACGACATACCAGCCAGCATGACCTCTGTCCCACGACTTACCAGCCAGCATGACCTCTGTCCCACGACTTACCAGCCAGCCAACATTTATTGGGTCGGTCACCTGCCATAATCCCTACAGCCATTTCAAAAGTCTACATCATCACAGCAACACGTAGGCGTTAATCTCTCTATATCATCACAGCAACACGTAGGCGTTGATCTCTCTATATCATCACAGCAACACGTAGCCTTTAATCTCTCTATATCATCACAGCAACACGTAGGCGTTGATCTCTCTATATCATCACAGCAACACGTAGCCTTTAATCTCTCTATATCATCACAGCAACACGTATCCTTTAATCTCTCTATATCATCACAGCAACACGTAGCCTTTAATCTCTCTATATCATCACAGCAACACGTAGCCTTTAATCTCTCTATATCATCACAGCAACACGTATCCTTTAATCTCTCTATATCATCACATCAACACGTAGGCGTTGATCTCTCTATATCATCACAGCAACACGTAGCCTTTAATCTCTCTATATCATCACAGCAACACGTATCCTTTAATCTCTCTATATCATCACATCAACACGTAGCCTTTAATCTCTCTATATCATCACAGCAACACGTAGCCTTTAATCTCTCTATATCATCACAGCAACACGTATCCTTTAATCTCTCTATATCATCACAGCAACACGTAGCCTTTAATCTCTCTATATCATCACAGCAACACGTAGCCTTTAATCTCTCTATATCATCACAGCAACACGTATCCTTTAATCTCTCTATATCATCACATCAACACGTAGGCGTTGATCTCTCTATATCATCACAGCAACACGTAGCCTTTAATCTCTCTATATCATCACAGCAACACGTATCCTTTAATCTCTCTATATCATCACATCAACACGTAGCCTTTAATCTCTCTATATCATCACAGCAACACGTAGCCTTTAATCTCTCTATATCATCACAGCAACACGTATCCTTTAATCTCTCTATATCATCACAGCAACACGTAGCCTTTAATCTCTCTATATCATCACAGCAACACGTAGGCGTTGATCTCTCTATATCATCACAGCAACACGTAGCCGTTAATCTCTCTATATCATCACAGCAACACGTAGCCGTAATCTCTCTATATCATCACAGCAACACGTAGGCGTTGATCTCTCTATATCATCACAGCAACACGTAGCCTTTAATCTCTCTATATCATCACAGCAACACGTAGCCTTTAATCTCTCTATATCATCACATCAACACGTAGCCTTTAATCTCTCTATATCATTACAGCAACACGTAGCCTTTAATCTCTCTATATCATCACAGCAACACGTAGGCGTTAATCTCTCTATATCATCACAGCAACACGTAGCCTTTAATCTCTCTATATCATTACAGCAACACGTAGCCTTTAATCTCTCTATATCATCACATCAACACGTAGCCTTTAATCTCTCTATATCATCACAGCAACACGTAGCCTTTAATCTCTCTATATCATCACAGCAACACGTAGCCTTTAATCTCTCTATATCATCACAGCAACACGTAGCCTTTAATCTCTCTATATCATCACAGCAACACGTAGCCTTTAATCTCTCTATATCATCACAGCAACACGTAGCCTTTAATCTCTCTATATCATCACAGCAACACGTAGCCTTTAATCTCTCTATATCATCACAGCAACACGTAGGCGTTAATCTCTCTATATCATCACAGCAAGACGTAGCCGTTGATCTCACAAGAAAATATGTGTAGACAAAACCAGATTTTAATTTTAAATGTTGTTGACGTTGGAAAAATTTGGTGAACTAATACATTATTGAGAACATGACATAGAATAACATTGCTGACCCCCAGCTGTGACCACATCCACCCAAAGAATTGATCAACACTGCTGTCCAAGCTACATGTAGTGTATAGCAAATCGATAGACGCCCAACTTAAAAGTGCAGCGGTTGTACGGTGCGCATTTACCAGCTGATAATTGGGACACTGAAGATGGAACTGGAACTATTTTGTCATCCCAGATTTATACAGAACGGCACAAATACACTTTGTCTAGTCTTGTATTTTATCTAGTCTTGTGTTTTGTCTAGTCTTGTGTTTTGTCTAGTCTTGTGTTTTGTCTAGTCTTGTGTTTTGTCTAGTCTTGTGTTTTGTCTAGTCTTGTGTTTTGTCTAGTCTTGTGTTTTATATAGTCTTGTGTTTTGTCTAGTCTTGTGTTTTATCTAGTCTTGTGTTTTTTCTAGTCTTGTGTTTTGTCTAGTCTTGTGTTTTATCTAGTCTTGTGTTTTATCTAGTCTTGTGTTTTTTCTAGTCTTGTGTTTTGTCTAGTCTTGTGTTTTGTCTAGTCTTGTGTTTTGTCTAGTCTTGTGTTTTGTCTAGTCTTGTGTTTTATCTAGTCTTGTGTTTTTTCTAGTCTTGTGTTTTGTCTAGTCTTGTGTTTTGTCTAGTCTTGTGTTTTGTCTAGTCTTGTGTTTTGTCTAGTCTTGTGTTTTATCTAGTCTTGTGTTTTGTCTAGTCTTGTGTTTTGTCTAGTCTTGTGTTTTGTCTAGTCTTGTGTTTTATCTAGTCTTGTGTTTTTTCTAGTCTTGTGTTTTGTCTAGTCTTGTGTTTTGTCTAGTCTTGTGTTTTGTCTAGTCTTGTGTTTTGTCTAGTCTTGTGTTTTATCTAGTCTTGTGTTTTGTCTAGTCTTGTGTTTTGTCTAGTCTTGTGTTTTGTCTAGTCTTGTGTTTTGTCTTGTCTTGTGTTTTATCTAGTCTTGTGTTTTGTCTAGTCTTGTGTTTTATCTAGTCTTGTGTTTTGTCTAGTCTTGTGTTTTATCTAGTCTTGTGTTTTATCTAGTCTTGTGTTTTGTCTAGTCTTGTGTTTCATTTAGTTGTCTTTTATATTTCCTGATGAGTTTATATTTTATTGATTAATTCTACTGCCTCTGTAAACCAGTGAACGACTGAAATAGGATTAAGAAAAAGATCTCTAGTAAGAAGATGGTGCCTGGTCTAGTAAGAAGATGATGCCTGGTCTAGTAAGAAGATGATGCCTGGTCTAGTAAGAAGATGGTGCCTGGTCTAGTAAGAAGATTATGCCTGGTCTAGTAAGAAGATGGTGCCTGGTCTAGTAGGAAGATGATGCCTGGTCTAGTAAGAAGATGATGCCTGGTCTAGAAAGAATATGGTGCCTGGTCTAGTAAGAAGATGGTGCCTGGTCTAGTAAGAAGATGGTTCCTGGTCTAGTAAGAAGATGATGCCTGGTCTAGTACGAAGATGGTGCCTGGTCTAGTAAGAAGATGGTGCCTGGTCTAGTAAGAAGATGGTGCCTGGTCTAGTAAGAAGATGGTGCCTGGTCTAGTAAGAAGATGATGCCTGGTCTAGTAAGAAGATGGTGCCTGGTCTAGTAAGAAGATGGTGCCTGGTCTAGTAAGAAGATGATGCCTGGTCTAGTAAGAAGATGATGCCTGGTCTAGTAAGAAGATGGTGCCTGGTCTAGTAAGAAGAT